ATTCAATTAGAAGATTAAGGAACAACACAATCTGCAACATTAACTGAAACAGATAATTAGATAATTTTAGCTTAGCTTATACATTAAAGGCGCATGTGTAAACGTATTTTACGCATGCATAGAAGCATATGCGCATGCGTAAAGGTATTATGCGCATGCGTTGACGTATGTGCAGAAAGTTTGTATCTTTGAGGTCCGGATTATAGATCATTCCGGATAATGGACGTTCGGATTAAAGACTTTTGATTGTATAGTACAAAGTCCGTAATCACGACTCGTCGGGACTTCGGCGAGTCCGGATTAGAGTTTTTTCCGGATTATAGGTCATTAATTTAAATTTGGTAAGATGGCATGCAGAAATTATACAATAGAGAATACCGACTAACTTGTCAATCGAAATTTTTTCGTTTTCAATAATGTTCTCTGTTACTTTCTTCACTATCGGAAGCACGCATGGGTGAATGCTTTACGGGTTTTACGCGCATAAGTAGCAAACGTGCGCATCAAATGCACATGTGTAAATGCTTTACAGGCTTGCGTAAATGCATTAAGCGCATGCGTAAGTTTGTGGCTTTGAGGTCCAGCTTATAGATCATTCCAGATAATGTACGTCCGGATTAGAGACTTTATGCTGTATAAAATATATGAAAAATTAAAAACATAACCCTAGAAAAACCAAGAAAAAATGCAAAAATTTCATAAAATATACTGACATTAATAGTAAGCATATTTGTAATTACACATTGTTTAGTGAAAAATGGCTAGAAACAATATATTTAATTCTAGAACTAGTTTAAAATACCACATATTATGACAATTTTAAGAATGTTTTTTTAAGTACAGCTTTAAAAATAAACCTATCTATTTATACTATGTAAATTATAGGTCCACCAGTGGCTGAATATCAGTCAGGATTTGGTTTCAGTCCAAGCGAACAGGCTGGCAACATGTGTGCTCTCACTGTTTTCCGTATGTGTAACATTAATGCAAATTAGTTTCCCTTAGAAAATCCTCCCCAAAGGCAAGTTTCCTCTTAAAGGAGATAGCCCTCACGTGCTTTGCTATATTATTATAAATAATGAGAATTATTGAAATTCAGGAATATAAAGCAGTAATTCACTCAAATGCAAATCTTTCAAAAATTTATATGTAAAAGACAGTAAAAATACTTTATCTTATTTTGACATAACTAATTTCATTTTATTTATTAAAAAAACATTTCAACTTCTTATTAAAAAATACGAGTCATGTATTTCTGAAGCAGTTTTTATTTATATTTTAATTAAAAGAAATGAAAGAAAAATTAAGAGCATAAAGTAATACTAAAAAGTAAAGTTCTTTTCAGTTTATAAGTTCTTAAAGTATCTAGATAAATTCAGAATACGAAGGACATTTAAAAACTGAAATAAAATATTAGCCCTTTTGAATCAAGAAAATATAAAGAAATATTTCTCAACTGAGAAAACTAAGAAAATGCCATCTTTTCATTAAATTCAAAAATATGTTTCACAAACCAATGGAACTAAAAAAATTAAACCCATACTTGATAAGGTCTTTTATCATGGTTTATCAGGCTGATACAGATTTTATCTGATAGCAATAACAATTGCAGTGATTATAAAGAGATTATAAAGGCAATAATCAATCACAGACAGCCTTTTGAGAATTCTGGATAAAAAGTTGCTGACATAACAAAACTATTATGACGATGCACTTTAAAAAATTCTCTTTACAATGCACTGAAGAAATTTACTTGCACTTCTACATTATACATAGAAAAACCATACATATTAAATAAGCTCTATGATGCTAAATAAATCAGATAAGGAAGAGGAATATCACACATGTTGAATTTCTTTGGTTTTTAAGCTGCAGTAGGGTTTTAAAAAGGGGGGCGGGGAAATGCCATCTTTAAGCCAGCAAGATTTTAAAACTAGAAAATAAAAAATAAAATAAAATAAAAAAAGTGCTTTTATAATAGGCATTGAAACTTGACTATAGTAAAATCATTTTTGTTTTTAAGAGTTTAATTATTTAAGACCGATTGTTGGGGTACAGGATGTTGGTAGAAACAAGTCATTAAAATATTTGCTTTGAATTTAAGTGGCACTACAACTTTGAACATAAAAATCTAAATAAAAATTATCACTTTAATTCAAAGTACCATGAGAATTTTTATTTAGATGGTAACTTTCCTGAAACAGCAATACTATGTCCAAACATCTAAAACTGAGAGTCTAATGATAGTACTACATAATTCTCAAACTTACAACCCGTATAAGGGTAGAGTAGACTTTAAGGTACCCCTTGTATTATGGCAAAGTTGTTGTTTCATTTATGGTAGCCTGAGTAGTTGAATGTTATGGAAACCCTATTGTGACGTAATCAGGTGCATGACTCTGGGAAATTTTGAATCATGGGATGTTTTGTAAGCGTTTTTGTGGTGTGTGTTGGTTTGATTCTTTAGACGGTTGAATGGCCGAATGTATAGTAAGTTTCTGTACGATTTGGAGCGAAAGGGGAAAAGAGCTTTAATTGACTGCTGTGTAAATGAAGGTTTACTTAGTAGCCATTATAAGTGTCCTGTATGTAGGAAGGATATGCGTCTAGTCGAACGCAAAAACCGTTTAGATGGATTTGAATGGGTTTGTAGGAAGAAAGGTTCAGATTGTCACTATGTGAAGCATTCGATCGGAATTTGAAAAAAGTCATTTGAGTATGATTGATATTTTGATTTTTACGTGGCTCTGGGTGTACGAAGCGATCTCGAAAATCATGGTAAGTGAATATTTGCTTTTGGTAGTGCTTAAATGTATAACATGTTTTTCCTTTTTTATGCTAATTTATTGTTTGGTTTAAAATGTATTTTACTCAGATTATGTATTTTTTGTTTGCCTATTGTAGAATTTGGTGCTCCTTTGACTTTTTAAGTGAAAATATATCGATGTGTACATGGACAAAGTAAAGGGAGTGCGCAATGCAAGTTTGTGCAATTCTGCGATTTTTTTTTAAAGTAAAAATAGGTCGACATGTACATGGATAACGTTAAAAGAGTGCGCAATGCCATTTTTGTGCACTTTGAGGATTTTTTTTTAAGTGAAAATAAGTCGATGTGTACATGGATACCGAGTTTGTGCAATTGTTTGTCTTGTTATTTTGGCTTTGTGTAGCGGTGACTTTTGGAGCAAAAGTCGCCGCTTCGCAAGCCAAAATAATGAGTCAAAGAATTGCACAAAATCGGTATCCATGTACCGCCCAAAATCGCCATGTTTCGCCAAAGGGTACCCTAAACTATACTTTTACCTCCGTATAATTTTCAAATTCCATTCTAATGAATAATAAAGTTGAAAAAAAAAAAACTGAACTTATTGCATTCTTTTGGCTAATACATTGCCAATATTTTAATGTGTTTATCTTGGTCATTTTGGCAAACATCTTTATAACTGATATATTACAAATTACTGTATATTTGTATATTTCTGAATATTTACACCAAACAGGAACTTTTAATCATCTTTTTTTAAATTATGCTATCAATGGACAAGTTTTTTTAAATACATTATTACATAAAGTTTTATAAAACCAGGCAAATTTAAAATGGCAAATATTTTTTACAATTTTACTTAAGGTGATATTTCTAATTAAATATACACAGCTATAAATACATAAATTGGTTACATTTGGCTAAGAATAATTAAAATTTAATAACACATAAAGTATAATTATTAGCAGATGTATATTATTCTTGAAACATACATTTAGCATATTTTTCCTTAAGCCATATTTAACGAATAATAAAACAAAATCTTATCAAAAATTTAAATATAACAATAAAATGTCTACCCCTTTTTCGCATTTAATAAAATTAAGTAAATTTTTATACTAACCTGCATATTTTGTTAAGTAACATGTCATTTGAATACTACATTATTTTTCGTAATATATGCTGTACGTTCATTAGTAAATTCCACACAAGAATTTTAGATATTTCAGTTACTTAAGGTGAAAACTAAAACTAGTAATAACAAATAAACATTGCTTGTTTAATACACAATTTAATGCTTCGTATGGAATCAAGCACATTATTATATGCTCATCTACAAATACCAACTTTTATGTCAAGTAACCCATCACATTTTCAAGAGAAAATATTTATTGCTGCATTTCGTTTCAATCAATAATTCAGTTATAATTTAACATTGAAATATACTTTAAGATGTTGAGTATGCAATGAGAATATATTTTAATATATCTTAACATTTTTGAAAAAAGTAAAGCCAGATGATTATAGAGAGTACTATTTTAATGACAGTGTCATAAAAAAGTTATTTTAATGGACGTAAAATATAATAGCATGCCAGAACATTTTTTATTACTCATATTTAGCAATAATATATATATATATATATATGAAAACTTACTTGTATCATTCCACATGTTTGGAATGCAGTAAAAACAAGCATAAAAGCAAATCCTAAAATAAGCACATTAATGAACATTTTATCTATCTTTTTCGACATGATTTTTCTCTATCTGTAACTTCAGTATAATATACAAAATGAATGAAATTAGTTCTATTTGCGTGGCAAAGGAAGCAACTGCAATACAAATAGCTCCAAAACTGGTTCAAATCAAAAAAGAACATTTGTTGACAGAAACACCTCCAGCCATGAAACTTAAACTAGGTAAAATGAAAGATAAAAATATTTTTAGGTCACACATTACAAAAACATAACGGCACCAAGTATCTTTTCTGCTTGATGCCATTTAAAACCAAACACACAAAAAGCAGCACTACTAGCAGACGACGTTCTGCTAAAATGCTGTGGCTGGTTAGTTAGAAAACTGTAACTAAAAGAAAATTTATCTATCTATTTACCAGATGTATTAATTTTATTTTTCTGTATTTAAAATTTTAAATTCAGATAAAAATTAGCATTTTAATAGAATATATTTTAGAATATATTAAGAATATATTTTATCAGAGCAGGAAGTTTGCCCTTAAACCTATTGTTTATCTACCAATCATTTTCGATAGGAGGTGGAGTTCCAGCGATGTTATGTTTTTGCACTTTTAATTTTGCAGTTAAAAAAAATGAATGTTAAGAAGTAATTTTTTTTTATCTCACTAACACTTTGAAAAACAACGAGATTCTTAATATTTTAATTACTGTTAATTTTATAAGAATCGTTGCAGCTGAATTTGTATTTGATGTTTATAATTTTTACAACTGCATTTTTATTTTGTTCATAAAATATTTACAGTCCACTGTTTAGGATACATGCTGTATTTTTCTGGTCTAAATTTATGATATTGCTTTTAACATTACTATAGAATAGAAATTACTTAGTGACTTAAGATTATATAATTCTGTATTTGCATTTATTTCAATCTATATTTTCTGACATTTTTAAAAATTTATCTGAAATTTCAGTTTTTTTTTTTTTTTTTTATTTTTTTTAGATATATTTTGAGATAACATTTAGCTACAGAAATCATAACAAAAAAAATCACGTTATGGTTATTTTAAAATACGTCTTATATAGATTAATTTTAAAATGCAGTATGTTTTTAGCAATTCAAGCTGCAGGATTTTAAGATTGGGAAAAAGTAATAAATAACCACTCTCAAAATTTTAACTCAGTAGGATTTTAAAATAATAAAAATAAAAATTATTTCAATCAGTATTTGGAAAAAAAAATCCTAAAGAAGCAATAATATAAACATATTAAGCTACCTAATTTATTTAGAAATAATGTGGTAATACTATATTCACTTTGAATTTAGATTGCATCATAATTTTATGGCTTCAGAATATAATAATGAATGCGGGTTACATTTATGGTAATAATACAGCTCCTGAATTTTTAGTTATTGCCATAAAAATAATTTGTGTTGAAATTAATGGGAAGGAGTGATAACCAAAATATTTATATGAACAGGAGAGAATAAAATGTCTTTTCTTCTAAAATGCATCTTCTTTTTATGGTGTTTTTGATAATTTTTTAAACAACTTGAAGGGGAAAAATACTGGGAATATCTGGAAGAATTATCTAAAAACTAGCACCAGATATTTATATTTATGTAGAGCTTTATTACAATTAAATTTCGCTGTGATGATGATCACTATATATTAGTGACTTTCAAAAGCTGGTTTCATTTATTGTTTTGAATGATTTGACTGATTTTCTATTTCCATACTGATCAAGTTTTTTTTATTTGAATTAAAATTTGCCTCACAGCTTATTTTCTTTAGGCATATCTTTAGGTTGGCTCTTGTTATTTTTTTATGTATTTTTACTTTGTTTGACTGCTGCTAGAGAAATATACTTTTATTATTTATTCTTAGCCATTAATTTTAACTTTTATTTCCATTTTTTGTTATTTTCATGATGCAATGTTTTATTGCCATCATTTTTAATATCGGGTCAGATATTGAAAATCATGTTTTATTGCAATATTATTTTTAATTTTCAGGTATTAGCTATGTTCTTCAGCTGCTGATTTCAGTTTAATTATGAAAATTGTGTTGTTTTTTTATATCGCTGGCCGTATATCTAAAAATATTTTCAAAATTCAGTTTTGTAATATAAGAATATTTCTTCATTCTTTGTAAGCTACTGTAGCAAAAATTTTATTGGCCAGAAAAACTTAAAATTATGGCATATAGGGTTGGGTAACCAGTTTTTTTTTTTTTTTTTTTTTTTTGTTTTTTGTTATTTACATGATGGAGAAAAAAGCCAAAAAAAGAGCAAATAGTTGCCTTTGACATCATAACACAAATTAATTATTATTGTAATCATAGGACATTGCTAAGTTTTAAGAATGCCTATAAGCTGCACTTTTAAGAACAGACCACTTTTTCCGGAGTTTATAGTTTGATCATGGGTCTATGGAATCTATCAAACAATACAGATGATCTTACTAGTTTCTCACAAAACTGTTAAATGAGTGCAGCAACTTTTAGAACAAGTTCAGTCGTTTTCAGGAGTGTAGGGTGTTAAATTCCTACTAATTTTCTTTAATTATTTATTCATATATATATATATATATATGCTAGGCGTTCAAACTGACCCTATTTCCAATATATATATATATATACATAAAGTAAAGTTTCTGGCTTGAGCTCTTATATATGTTAAAATTAGCACTCAATAACATTTTTTTTTTCTTTATTTTACATGAAAATATACTTAAAAAAATTCCTTATCTTGTAAAATAATTTTCGGAAGCACTATTCAAATTATTCCAAAGTTTTAAATCAATGAAGTTTAAAATTAATAAAACAACACAATAAAGACTATTTACAGTAAGAAGTAACAAAATTTAAAATGAAGATTGAGTGTGGTAAATCGCAAAGCACAGAGAAGTATCACTTTCTAACTCTTTAGAAAATGAATCATTACTCTCATCTGCATTACTAAGTGGTTCATTAACCATACGAGAGTATTCTTCCTCTGACAAATAGCACCTTCCCTCCATAATAGACTGGAGGTGAGGCTTTCCGAAATAAAAAGAGAAGAAATGGAAATATATCTGAAGGCAATGCAAAGCGTAACAGAACTCCACATATTAACCCTAAAAGACCGTACACAGTAGAGGGAAAAAATAGAATGAAAAAAGGAATTGGATATAAATCAGGCATGCGAATGTTTACATTAGCATGCTGTGATTTAAAGAGCCCACCTCTTTACTCTTTCCCCCCACCCTCCCAACATTTGATGAGTAAAATACCAAAGTCAGGCAGAATATGTCAAACTCAAGGTTAGGAACCTAAAACTGTGCTCATTTCAAAAGTAATGGACACAGGATGCCATCTAGTGGCCTTCAGAAAAACGTTACAGCTTAAAACGTGTATACACATCACCCGTCCTCTGAATGCAATCCCTAGTGATGCGTGGATGAGACGCCCATCCTGAAAGGGTTAAAGGTACAGCAGCCAATTTATTTTGAAAGTTATTACAAAATTTATATTCATTCATGCTATAAATATGTAATGTAATAAAAATGCATCTGATACTTAAATAAACAAATCATTGTTTTGACAAAAGACATATTGTCATTAATCCCACTTAGAATATTCCAACAGACTTGAGACACACTTATCTTATTGTCCATATTAATGTAGTGGCAATATAATTTACTGTTTTTGCATAATTTTTAAGATTTACTATATGGCAGTTTCAAACCAAAGTTGTTATCAGTTAGCATTTTTTTTTTCCTTCTTAGTCCTATTATTATTATGGAATTCTGTACCCTTACTCTTTAAAACCTATGTTATATTTTTAATTTAAAATATGTAATATATGGTACCAGTTGGTTAATCAACTCACTGCTTATTATATTCAAATTTCCAGGAACCAAAACAATCCTAATGAATAGAAAATCTGCCACATGTTCAACTCATCTCTGTCGCTTATTAAACTCAGATTTTTGAAAAACTGATTCTTCAGTGCCAGATCATCCTACTTGTATTTATCAAAGCTTTTTGCAGGTCATTCATTTAATGTTTTGTGATCCATGGCTTTATGGTTCATATGTGTAATGCTTATAATGGATAAAATGGATTTGACAGAAATTTTTCTACTCCCTAATCCCTGTACCTATGAGACATTATTTTCAGTGTTCTTTGTTCATAATGTACTTTAGAGATGCAGAATTTCTTTATTAACAAAAACAATCCTCTAGAGTAGAAGCGCTGTAAAGGAGTGAGGGTTTGCTCTCAATTACCAGCTGATAAGACGTGGAATTCAACTTCTGTATCTCATCTGATAAGGTTTCCACATTCTTAATTTTCCCTTTCAGATAGACACATTATATCCACAAAGAATTATTTAAAAAAATCCATGAAATGCCTCTCATTATTATCATACATTAATAGTCTTTGAATGGAAAGGAAGTGGTAACTGTGGACTAAAGTAAAAGCGAAGAAAGCATTAGTTTTGCTTACAATCATAAAGTGACAAAATGCAGACCATGCTGACAGAAGTTTTAAAATTTGAATAAATCATTAGAAAAAGCATTTTTTTAACCAAAAATATTGAAAGAAATTCATGGCAATTTTCAACCTTTTTAATCTTTATGTTCTTAGTAAGTACAGCTCTCTATCCCAAAAAATTTTCACTTAAAAACTAGGAATTTCTCAAACAGCACTTTGCAGTTTACTTAAACGAAGAAATATACCGTATTTGACGGCATATAAGACGCACTATTTTTCCTAAATTTGGTCTAAAAAAAGTTACCTGCGTCTTATACGTGAAGGACACTGTCTTATATGTGAAGGTAATTGCATTCAATAATTGTTTATTTGGCTTTTACGAAATGTAAGAACTAAAAGAAGCCATGCTATTGAAACTTTTTTTTTCTTGTGTGTGGCCGTCTAAATAAGGGTGTGTCTTATATGCCGTCAAATATGGTAATTGATGAACTAAAATGCAAATGTCTTAAAGAAGCACTAAAAAAGATAGACAAATGAGAGATGCTGACATTGCTTCTCTACAATGATTTCAAGCTATAAATCTAAAAAAATGCTTCTATTTCTAGAGCTTTTCTTATTAATTTGCTAAATGATAGAAGATAATTTTACATTAACTGATGTAATGAGTTACAAGATGGAAAGAGAAATTCAACATTGTTCATCAGAAATTACATGATGAGAAGTAAGAAGTGAATGATAATGTATCTGATGTTTATGTGGGCTGCTAAGTGAATACAAGTCACATGAAATTTGTAATACAGATGAAATGGACTGTTATTGAATATTACCAGAACATGCATTAATATTTAAAAATAAAAGAAACTGAATGAATAAATTACTGTGTTATTTACATATATAATATGGACCCAGTAATCAAGAAGACAACAGAGGTTACTGGCAAAAGTAGAAAGCCTGGATGTTTGAAAGAAACCGAAAATTTACTTCCAACTGCCATAGCAACAAGAACTCATAGATGATAAATAATATAGGGTGTTCTCAAAATCCCTAAACAACTTTAGTGTACTATCATGAGCATTCTATAAGAAGTAGTGCTAGAAATTTTTATGGCATTATTATACATACATCAAAGTTTTTTCCTCAACAGTTTGTTTTGGTTTAATATTCACATAATGTAAGGATTTAGGGAGTCTGAAAATCCTCATGTCCTAAGAAAGTTGAAGTGGGACAGACCAAAGGGAAATGTTTAGCATGGAAGCTGCAAACAAGATTTTAGGACCTTTTCCCTTCAGGGAACAAACAATAATAGCAAGAGTTTACCTTGATACATTGCTTAAATTCATCTACAGTTCGATAACAATCAGCAAGAGGTCATGTTGCTGTATATGAAGGTTTGTTACTAATGTCACTTGTCACAAAAGCTTTGAACCTTGTTTGTGAATGTGTGACAGGTACCAAAGGTATAAATTGTTCCTTTCTAAAAAAACAAGCTGTTAAAATTCTTCAAGGACTTTGTGGACATTCCATTATTACTAATTTCTTTTTAAATGATATGAACTGAAAAATAAAAAATATTTTATGAATTAGATAACTGTGCAGCACACACATTTCTAATCTAATTCTAAAAAACAGTAGTGTCCCTTTTTGCAAATGTAACTTTTAATATTTAACTTTTAATTTTAGGGTATTAGAAAAGCTTTCAAATATTACAGAAAAGATATTCAGTAAATGACAAACAAAGCTGAATTTTATGAACATGTAAGGATTTTAAAGAAGATAGTAAGTCAATATCTCTGCTAGAAGCTATGCGTCAATGCAATGTGTTAATCTCTTAAAATAAGTTAAAAACTGTTTTAAAAAAGTGTGGCTTTTATGTAAGAGAAGCCTGAAAGAAATCACAAACTACAGCTATTTCAAACATCATTCAAGGACAGGGAAGTTATGAGGGCTCATTTTTAGAATATATGTTAATTCACAATAATATTGACAAAAATGTGTATAAAAATGACTGTGCATGAAAAATTGTGTTAAAAGAACTGTAGAAACTAACTTGAAAGTGAGGCAGAAAAAAGCGATGCCATGCCATCATCAAACAAATCTAGAAATGTTAAAAAAGTTCTTGAACTGAAAGGTACTGATCGAAAAAGCTATCAGCAATTTTACAAAATTGAGATCGCAATAGCAAAACTGATGTTGAATAATATGAAATAATTACAGATAGAATAGTTATTTGTGAAAATTAAAATGCATCAAAAACATAATTATAAAAATATTTTGATAAAACATTTTAGAATGAATTTAAAAATAGAATAAATAATTTAATTTTGATGTTAATATTGGTACTTATATATTTTCCCGTCAAGTGCTGGTGGAAATTTCGGCAACAGTCAGCAGTTGTTACTTTAGAACTCTAAAAACGTAGTCATCCATAATTGGTGCTAAATCATGCTACTTTGCCAGTCAATGGGAATAATACATAAATACCTTAATTTTACGTATTGTTTTAGGATTAATTAATAAATTAGTTATTATATTATTTGAAAAGTTTAAAACTGATGTCTCATCTTGCTGTGCACAAATTGCCATTTGTTAAACTCAGCCACTTAATGAACTGAAATACGTTTGGAATGGAAATGATTTTAATAAGCTATGGGTATTGTGTATCAAATATGTATGGAAAATATGAATATGCTGTTTAAATGCTAAGCGAAGTCTTTTTCTTTTAATTATTCATTGACAAAATAAAATACATTTCAATTCTTTATTTTCTTCCAAAACCTATACAGTCAAAAGTCGTTAATTCGGACACCCATAATCCGGAATGATCTATAATTCGGACCTCAAAGCTAAAATCTTTCTGCGCATGCGCCGCATTGACGCATGCGCATAGGCGTTTTACTCGTGCGCTCAAGACATTTACGACTGCGCATATGCGTCTGCGCAAGTGCAGAATACGTTTTCGCGTGCGCGTTTAATGTATAACGGACGCTATAAGCTAAAATTATCTAATTATCTATTTCAGTTAATGTTGATGATTGCGTTGTTCCTTAATCTTCGAATTGGATCCGGCTTATTATTTTTTGCAGACTGTAAGAGCAATTTTCTAAAAGTAAGCTTGAACTTTTGATTATGTCAAATAGAATTTCCGATGCTGGAGCTCCCAAAGGATCTAGAAAACGAAAGTATGTTTCGATGTCCATCAAACAAAAAACGAATTGCTACAAAAGGCTATGCGTAAGGTATGCTTTACGCATCCGCGCGTTGAAAGAAATGTTTAATAAAGTAAACAAATAAATATTAGGCTTCTTTTTTGGTAAATTTTGATACCCTTTAGATCATAATTGCTCATTATTTTATAAATTACGGTTTCATATTTTTAATTTTATAATTTCTGCATGCCATCTTACCAGATTTAAACTGATGATCTATAATCCGGAAAAATCGATAATCCGGAATCGCCGAAGTCCCGACGAGTCCGGATTAAAGACTTTTGACTGTATTACTATCTTGATCAACTGACCTTCTTTCACAAGTGTTTTAGTTGTACTGCCATGACTGTTTTCTGTGCTGAATTATTCAAAATGTTTACATTTTTTATTCATTTTAATATTGGGGAAGTCTTGAGTTGTATAATGTAAATGAGAATGCATTATGTGTTTTATTTGACATATACTGCTATACCAGTAGTGATATATACTGTTTGGATATCTTCAAGATATTTTCTCTATACAAAATTTCTTAAGTGCCTAATGAGCCTATACAAAGTTCAGAATTTATTCCGATTATTGGCTTTAAACTCAGCTTGCACAGTTTTACCAACTCTTTTCCAATGGTCCAGTGCACTACTTTATAAAGAGGCCTCATGAGCAGTAACTATATTAACTTGGTGGAAACTCTGAGCTATGCAATTAAAAAATGAATAGAGGTAAAAAAAAATTTAAAAATTCACAAAATAAATGAATTAAGTATTATTTAAATATTAGTAATAGCCAAAGGCAACATCTACTGATAATGAAAGATTATTTTCAGAAATTCGTCTGATGCATAGTAAATTTGGAACAAGTTAGGACTTAGGCAAATTTCAAAGCTGGTATTTTTTCTTATTGCTAAGTGGAAATACCTGTTTTGTAAGCATATGAATTAAGTAAAGAAAATTAAGTACCCATTGGTGGCTAATTGGGCAAGATTGCTGAATATTAGTAGTTCAGCCCAGTGCCATCTTAATAGCGTTATGGACCCTCAGGCAAACCAGGAAAACTGGAGCCTGTATAACAACCACTCACAGAAATGAAATTTAAATAAATTAGCATGGGGTCCCTGGGTAAATGCCCAGTGGTCCCATGTATTAAGATGGCCCTGGTCCAACCTATGTTTAATCTAGGTTAACAGCTGGCTGTACGAGTGTTCTTATCGTTTGGATAAGTTCGTAATAAGTTCCTTATAAATCTCTTATATATTTAGTCTCTCCTCCTTTTCTTAAGACTTGTATTCCATTGTAAGAATTATAGTGAAGATATGGTGTTATATGTTTTATAATATTATTAAAAAATTTAGTAATGACATTTTCATAATTCATGTTACAAAAATTTACCTTTTTGTAGAAGAAGTGGGTTTTTTCTAAAAATGAGAGAGTATGGAAATGGAGTTTTTGTATGACTTCTCTTAGATATCATCTACTTGCATAAAAAATTTTGTTTTGTTTGGATATTTAACAAGAGAGTGTGAATTACTATCAAGAGAACTTCTGTTATTAGTTGTAAAGTTTAGTTCATCATTTTTATTGATATTTAGTATAAAAAAGTGATGCTTTATATTGACTAAAAAAATGTTATTTAATGCTCTTGAAATTCATTGAATTACTGAATTGAGTCTTATTTTATTTAAATTCATATCCGATGAAATATATTTTTAAATGTATCTATTTCTTAAACATATTTTAATGGAAAAATATTTAATTCATGAATTTTTAAATTAGTTTTTCTGTTAGCTATTTTTATTCATGTGTATATTATTTCTATTTGTTTACTTTTTTAATTAATTTTAAATTTCAGATAAAAAATGATACAGCCTGTAGTGAAAGAGTTTGAATTCAAATATGGACGAGATAAAAAGGAGAAATCTGTCCTACTTTCAGTACCCATTCCAGTATCTATCAGCATTCCAGAATTGGGATCCTGTTTGATGTCTCAAAATAAAATTCCATTTTTTGTTGAAGATGGTAGGCATTTCTACTTATTCTTTTATATTTATATTACAGAAGAACAGTTTTAGTCCTTATTAGTTTACTTGTTATATAAAGTTCTGACTTTTTCTCTTTATCAATGTATACAAAAACTGAAGTTCATCCCATGCATATCTTATTAATAAGAATTTTTAATTAATATTATAAGAATATTTTTAATTTTTTAAATGTTAAATTCTGTATATAGAAAGGCATGTAGAAAGCTGTTATTAAACTTTTTTAAACATTAATTCGGATATGTATATAACTAATATTTTATTTATTAAAAATTTTGGACTTAGAAATATTTTCTATATCTTACAATTTATAGTTAAATTCTTTCATAAATATGTATATTTATTTTCTAGAATTGCACAAGAGCTTGGAAACATTTATAGCAAAAGAAACTTCTAAATATTATGATCAAATAGATTTGAAAGCAATAAAAGTAATACAAGATGCCGAGAGTACTGAGATCGATCAACTTATAGAAAAGTGGGCTAAAGCTTTTAAAGAGGTAATTCTTTTTCCAAATAATTAAACCATTTATTGTAATGAAATTTTAAAACTGGGAAGTTAGAAGTTATGATATTGTATATGCTTATATTGATGTCATTTAATAACTAATTATCATTTGAAACTAGAAAGCCTTCTAGCGGTTATGTGTATAAGATTGTTGAGCATGACTAATTCAACTCATGTTCAAATCCTGAAAAATGCATGGTTGGATGGGCATTTGTGTGATTTTTCTGATGTGTTGTATAAATATGAGCCTGTTTCCTAAAAAGTGCTTGATGAAATCTTTCTACTCTTAAGCTTACGCATATCTTTTTATATTCAGTTAAACAAAATAGTGAAATTAGAAGAATATTTTCATATATATATATAATTACAATTCTTTTGAAAACCAAATATAAACATGCCTGGTATTTTCGTGCATTAAGCAGCAGAAAAAATTATCACTAAATATATACAGTGGTGGCCAAAATTGTGGACACTTTTGGAAATTTTTATGTTTTTGAAATTTGTATGCTTATAGAAAAGTTATGTTTCACAAAATGCAAACTTGTATATATCATTTTAAAGAGAATTTATTACTGAATTCAATACAAAATTCAATTATTTTCAATACAAAAAAAGTTAAAACGATAATAGTTATCGATATACATTAGATAGTGATGATTGCAGTGAGTTATTCATATCAGTACTTAGTAGGGTACCCTTTATTTTTGATTACAGCTTCACATCGACGTTTCATTGAGCTGAAAAGAGTTTTCAGCTCTTCTTTCGTTATTACATGATGCCAGGAAACAATTATAGCCTCAATTAGTTCCCTTTTATTTGATGGGCGCCTCATTTGGACAAGAGTTTTCAAACGGTGCCACAAATTTTCGATAGGATTGAGGTCAGGACTGTTTCCTGGCCATGACAACAATTTAATGCTCTTTGTATGAAACCACTCTTTCAATATTTTGGCCGTGTGGCAAGGAGCAAAATCCTGCTGAAAAATAAAGGAAGCATTGTTGGGAAAGAGATCTCTGATGGAAGGTAGAAGTTTTGGTTCTAGAATAGTGTCAATGTATTTTCTGGCATTCAGTGTCCCATCGATGACATGAAGGCAACCAATACCAAATCATAACACTAACTGGGTTTTTCACAGTTGCTTGAATGCAGTCAGGATGTAGCTCTTTTCCTATTCTACATCTTACATATTTTTCGCCCATCACTACCGAATAACGATATCTTAGTTTCATCACTCCATATAACTTGTGACCACTGATCATCTGTCCAATTAATGTGTTCCTTTGCCCACTGTAGTCTTTTTTTTTTTTTTTTTTCGTTGCTGAAAATTAAGATAAGGCTTTTTTCGTGGAATTCTACCTCTCAGTCCAACATCTGTTAATCTTCTCCTTATTGTTCTTAAACTGACAGAAACACCAGCATCATTCAGATCACTTCTGATGACTGCTGATGACATTTTTTCTATCTTGGAGACATAGTTTTTTTAGTCTTCTGTCATCAATAGATGGTGCACCTTTTTCGGCCTTTTCCTTCTTCTTTGTTTTTTATTGAATTTGTCTCCTGATATCGTAAACAAAACTTTTGGACTCCAGATGCAGTCACTAAACCACCCATCTGTCTTGCAATTTCAGCATAGGAAAGACCACTTTTTCGTAACACAATAATATTACATATCTTTCTAGGTGTCCAATCTACTCTTTTATTTCATGTCATTGCTTCTTGACTAAATATTAAACATTTTTACAAAAATTCCTACTTGTAATTGCAGTGTATAAGAAACAGGTCTCCTTCTACAGAACAAAGCAAAATAATGAATGAATTGTTTCAAGTGTAAACATGATGTCAGCTTCTACTGGCAGTTACTAACATTTGATTGGTTCTCAGAACAAGAACAGTGATTATCCAGGAAAGCTAGACATTACAAACCATTTCATAACTGTGTTTTTTATTTATATTAAAGTACATTTAACTTTTTTTGTATAGCAAATAATTGAATTTTGTGTTTTGTATTGAATTCAGTAATAAATTCTCTTTAAAATGATATACAGTCAGAAGTCGTTAATCCGGACTCGGGACTTCAGCGATTCCGGATTATTGATTTTTCTGGATTATAGATCATCAGTTTAAATCTGGTAAGATGACATGCAGAAATTATAAAATTAAAAATATGAAACTGTAATTTATGAAATAAAGAACAATTATGATCTAAAGGGTATCAAAATTTACAAAAAAAAATTAGGCTTAATATTTATTTGCTTACTTTATTAAACATTTCTTTCAATGTAAGTTGTTTAAGTTGCTTCGTTTTTTATGTGATAATATTCTCTTTAATTCTATAAACAGACATAATTTTTTGTTAAGTTACAAAGTTCCGCTGTTCCAGTCCTATAATTGCTGTGTCGAGAATACCGACTAATTTGTCAGTCGAAATTTTTTCGTTTTCAATAACCTCTGTCACTTTCTTCGCTATCGGAAGTGAATTATAATGACGAGGAATTTGATTGATTTAAATCATATCAAAGACAGAGTACATCGAGATGAAATACTACATTTAGTAAGGAAATATAAGCCAAATAAAATAAAAACATCTGCCCTGAAGATAAGGATAGTACTGACAGATCAACTTCCAATACATTGCGCGCCGCTGTGTTAAAGATAAACAAAGTTTAGATAAACAAAGGATATGCCTTTATCCATTTTTTGCAGCAATTCCACTTTTTGTTTGATGGACTTCGAAACTTACTTTCGCTTTGTAGTTCCTTTACATATTAGTAATAATATCAGAAATTCTATTTGACATAATTGAAAGTTCAAGCTTACTTTTATAAAATTGCTGTAACAGTCTGCAAAAAATAATAAGCCGAATCCAATTCGAAGATTAAGGAACAACGCAATCTGCAACATTAACTGAATTAGATACTTTTAGCTTAGCTTATACCGTCCATTATACATTAAACGTGCGTTCATAAACGTATTTTGTGCACACGCACATGCGTATTCGCAGCCGTAAAGGTCTTACGCGCATGCGTCAATGAGACGCATGCGCTGAGAGTTTGTAGCTTTGAGATCCGGATTATGGGTGTCCGAATTAAACGACTTTTGACTGTATACAAGTTTGTGTTTTGTGAAACGTAACATTTCTATAAGCATACAAGTTTCAAAAACATAAAAAATTTCCAAAAGTGTCCACAATTTTGGCCACCGCTGTATATACAGTACAAAGTCTTTAATCCGGACTCGTCGGGACTTCGGCAATTCCGGATTAGGCATTTTCCAGATTATAAATCATCAATTTAAATCTGGTAAAATGGCATACGGAAATTATTAAAATTAAAAATATGAAACCATAATTTATGAAATAAAGAGCAAATATGATCTAAAGAGTATCAAAATTTACAAAAAAAAAAAAAAAAAAAAAAACACTTAATATTTATTTGTTTACTTTATTAAACATTTCTTTCAATGTAAGTTGTTTAAGTTGCTTCGTTTTATGTGCTAATACTTTCTCTTTAATTTTATAAACAGACATAATTTCATGTTCAGTTACAAAGTTCCGTTGTTCCAGTCCTGTAATTGCTGTGTCGAGAATACCGACTAACTTGTCAATCGAAATTTTTTTGTTTTCACTAACCTCTCTATCACTTTCTTCATGCCTTTATTCATTTTTTGCAGGCAATTCCACTTTTTGTTTGATGGACATCGAAACATACTTCGCTTTGTAGATCCTTTGGCAGCTTCAGAATCGGAAAGGAAACTCTTTTGACATAAAGTTCAAGCTTACTTTTTATAACATTGCTCTAATAGTCTGCAAAAAATAATAAGCCGGATCCAATTAGAAGATTAAGGAACAATGCAATCTGCAACATTAACTGAAATAGATAATTAGATAATTTTAGCCTAGCTTATACCATCCGTTATACATTAAACACACATGTGTAAACGTATTATGTGCATGTGTAAATGCTACGCATGCTCAGAAAGTTTGTATCTTTGAGGTCCAGATTATAGATCATTCTGGATTATGGACATCCGGATTAAAGACTTTGTACTGTATATATGTTTGTGTGTCTGTGTGTTGATAAGAGAGAAGGTTATAAATAACTTTTATGTAATTTACATCTAATGAAGATTGCTTTTTCTGACTGTATTTAGATCGCTTTCATTATCAAGCAGGTGAGCTGGTGTTAGATATGTTTATAAAAATTTCTGTCTTGATAATTGCTTCATGATATTTAAATAAACATATTTCTTTTAATAAATTTTGGAATATTTATTAGTCATATGATTTAATTTTTGAAGAAATGGATCAAATTTCTGCTTAAACTGTGCAAAATATTCGGAATTTATATTTTATTTTAAATTATAGGTCAAAATTGTTTAGTGGTTTTCTGAGAAGGTTTCTTCTGAAAGGGTCCATCCCCCCCAGATCTGCGCAAAAATTTATCTTGTGTCTCATAACAATTAGAATGTGTACTTTCTAATTATCCACACGATTTCACAAAAAATACTTTTATATGGCTATCTTTATGTTTCACAGTTAAGCTTACCATAATATTTTTTTTGTTTAAACCTGAACAATTTGGAGAAAATATTCACATCAGAAAATAAAATAAGTGCAGAATTGAACAGGTTAAATAAAGAAGTTGTTAATAAAAAACAGCAATGAGTTAAAAGAAATTTTTAATAGCTGAATTGAACATACCTTATTATTTATGTTCCTTTTTATATAAAGTTATTAATATTTGTCACTAGTGTGAACTTTAGAAATTTTTGTTATTTTTAATTGCATCCGAAAATCACTGCCAATTTAGCAACTTAGTAAAGCTTTTATGGTTGATTTAGCTATTTGCCTCTTTCTTGAGACCATATGGTGGTGTGGTGTGGTGTGGTGTATTTAATTATGGCAAAGCACTCGAGGGCTATCTGCCTAAAGGGAGGGATGCCTTTCGTGGAGGACTTTCTAAGGGAAACTGGCTCGTATACACGTTACACATG